TCACTCGGGGGTAAGGGAGCACAGGCTGCACCCATGAACCAGCCCCCTGTGCCCCCAGGCGCTGCTGGATCCCTTCTCCAGCCCTCCCCAGGCTCACCCCTGCCCGCACCCTGCCCGCGCTGGGGGGGGTAAGTGATGGGTTCCCTAACGAGGGCGAGCAGCTTGCCAGTCAGCTGCAGAAAAATCAATACCGCTGTTAATTGAATGCAACCCTCGTAAATCATCAGAGGGGAAGGAAATTAGAAGCACTTATGGAAGCCTCCCGGAGAGCTATTTACTGGGCGAGGGAAATAGTTTGCAGTGGAAGCGTTGGTCCCCCACTGGAAAGCGCTTGGGAGGGAAGGAGGGGGTTTGAAGTGGCTGACCCAAGCTGGCACCGTAACCCGACAGCTCTGGGGCTCAGGGGAGCCTTTCTGGGGGGTTCCAGGGTGCCCCCGACCTGTCCCCAGCCTGCAGGGAGGTGGCAGCGGGGAGGATGCGGGTGTGCAGTGCTGGTATCCCTGGTCATCCCGCTCCCCCACATAGCGGGTAGCCTGCAAAGGGTGTTATTTGCTAACGACTGATTAATCTTCAAGCTTAATTACTGCCAAAGCTCAGTTAATTTCCACACACTTTAAGTATTTGTTCTTGTAATCATTACATGACTCCATATTCCCCCAGTAATTAAAAGTCGCACAATATGACACTAACTGGGTGATGTTCCTGCATCCTGCCAGCCTGGCTCCATTAATTCCTGACTTGTCGTCGTTGATCAGCTGGCTTTGGTGAAATCGCTGCCAGATGCCGGGGTCCCCTGGGTGGTCTCAGACCCCTCCATACATCTTCTCCCCATCTCCTCGGTGTGCTGTGGGGCTCCGCGGGGGCGGCTGCAAGGTGGGGCTGGTGCTAGGTGGTGTGAGAGCTGTCCAGAGCGGACAGAGCCCCAAAGCACCCCCCAGGGAGGGGAAAACCTGTCCTGCGATCCTGCCCAGCTTTGCTGGGTTATAGTTTTGCCGAGCAGAGCTTGTCAGCGGGAGCGGCATCTTCTCTTTGATGGGGCTGGGGGGGTGCGGCTGGGAGCCCTGTTGCCCCCCCATCCTCACCTCTCCTACAACCCATCACATCCCAACAGTGAGCTCTTCCTTGCCAGCTCCTGAGGACGGCTGCAGCCCGGTCCTGGATGCTTTCGGTGTGAGCTTGGAGGCGATGGGCATAGCGCAAGGGGTTGGGAGGTCCCCTCACCTCTGGGGTCCCCATCAGGACCAGGGGGAGAGATGCACGGGGATATTCACGCCTGGGCAGCTGACTTTTTCTCTCCTCGGCAGAGCAGGGAGGTGGCTGTGTACCACTAGCAGGGCGGCCGGGGGAGCAGGATCCATCCCTGTGCCGCCACTGTGCCCAAGGGGCTCTGGGCTCGTTGGGAGAGATGGGTGATGGGCACGGC